CAAATTACAAAACTCAATGGAATGAGACATGAAAAAAAAGAATAGAAGAAGTTTTGAAAGGATTAAAAAAAGTATTTTAAAGATAGAAAAAGTGAATCTAAAGAGAAAAGACTAAACTTAATGAAAGATAGTAGAATAAAAATATGAGATATTGATAAACAGACAACAAAATTAGTGAAAAGAATGTTATAAACCAAGTCAGAATACACTCTAATCATTTATAAAAGAAAATATGGAATACCTAATATAAAAAGATGATCAAATAGGAATAGATGTCAGGAATTTACAAATATGACAAGATAAAAAGATCATTTTATATATGGGATTAAAAAGGTAAGATCAAAAGTATAAAAAGTTCATCTATTAAAAAATTAGTATATGAAAAGAAGAGAATCGAAAACAAGAAGTTGAATTATATAGTGTAAAGTATAGTATAAAGAGATTAAATTTTAATCTCTATCAAAACTCAATCAAGTGATCTGCAATGATAACTTGCAAGCAATAATATTAAAAGTTGAAAGGATCTTTGCCTGAACTACTAATGAAACAATAAATCACTCCTGAAGTTTTACTTAAAAAGATAATATAACCGAAATAAGTGAATTAATTAGAGAATTAGCTTTAGTGTCATATTTTATATATACAACCTATAAATATTTAATAAATTATATATAACCAATCTAATAAAAAATAAAAAAAAATAAGTAGCTATATATATTCTACATAATACTATATACTATTACATCTATTTGGATAGGATGTAAATTCTATTTAATTTTTTCTAGAACAATTTTTAAGAGAATTCTATTTATTAAACTATTGATTTTAATATATAAATTTAGGATTTTGATCTTTCAAAGTAGTTTACAGTTTTTGGTTCTCACATTAAAGCCTTCTAATAGTAAAGTTTGTGAAACCTAGCACAAAAATATATTTTACTTTAAGAGATATACTATTAATTTAGAATCTACTCATCTTATTACCATTGGATAATGTAGTTATACCAGGAATGATTCTATTCAATTGCAATTATTGTTTTCAATATTATAAGGTATTAATTGAAAATTGATTGCTTTCTTTAATTCTTGATTGACTTTAAAAGAAAGCAATTATGAAGACAATAAAAATAGTAATAAAAAAGATGATAATATTATTAATATTAAAAAAATAAATAATGATAAAATATTTATAATTTTAATTTAAATAAAAATAGTTATAATGATGAATTAACAACGATTATTAATGATTTCATTTTATCAACAAATGAAAATTTAACATATTTTAAAAAATTTTCTATTTATTTTTTAGAATATATAATTAATAAAAAATTATTTTACTTAATGAATAGTTTATATTTATGTGTGTATTATCTTAATTTATATTATATTTAACTGATATGAAACATTAACACGTATGATCTGCGATTTACTTTTTCCTCATGATCCGGGAAATTTCACCCGAATGTAATGCTGCACGGTGACGCACAAGTGCCGTAAGGGTGATGCATGAGTAACACCCCCCATATCGTTTATTATTGGTAATTTTTGATTTTACCAAATAAAGAATTTATCCTAGTATTATCCCGGTATCAATACCGCATTTCCAGATTAGTCATGTATTATTATTTTTCCGACAATTTATTAGTCTATAGAAATATAATAAGATAGGTACATTTTATCGAAATTCAAGGTATATTTATCATAGGATGTATGTATTAAATGAATTAAAAAGATTCGTTGATTATACGTTCAAATTCTAATTAGTCTACGATGTACTTCTAATTGAAGATATAATTAGGAAAATTTATAGCTTGACCGAGTTCTCATAATTTATTTTTTATCATATTCTTAATTCTTTTTCTTAATATATAATATACGGTATATTTGGAAACCATGTTGGGTTATTGGACAAGATTTTCGACCATCATTTTGGAGTTTTTTGGTTTGGTTTTTGGTCCACGCTTTTTGTGTTTGCCGGTATATATACAATCAACATTTCGTTTTTTGCATCGAAGGCATTTCCTTATGTGTGTGTTCCCCGGATTCACTTGAAATATATCGAGGCCAGACTCTTGGTTATTTACTGATGAATTGGTTTCTTTGCTATGAGTAGCATATGTGATCGGAGTACATCTCGTTTTTGAAGCGCGGCAACTTTCACAAGCTTTTTTAGCGTATGGGTGTCGAGTCCCGAAGGAAGGCATGTTTGAATTACAGAAGTTTATATTACAAAATGCTAAGATGTGAATTGAGTTTCTTTTCTTTGTTTTTTTTTTAATCTGAAAGGCTTAATTTAAATAATTCTCGAATTCAATATCAAACTCCGAAGAATAATAGACACTCCGTTGTTGCATTTTGTATCAATGCAAATAACATTTTTGGCGCTTTGAGTGTGCTTTACAATCTCTATAGAATTGCTTTTTCGGGTAAGAACTATCAACAATGGGTATGTATAAGCATCTATATTATCGTTATTATTATTAAGGAAGGTAATCACTAGCGAATGGGCATTTATTTTTTATGGAATTTCTCAATTTTAAGACAGATAAAAGAGGCAATGTTAATTTAAATTCGGAAATAAGGTCATTAAGAATTATTGGTTGCGTAATTTTTTGATCCTAGTCAACCCGGTTCAGCATGGATTCGCAAAAGAGAAAGGAATTAAGTTGTACTGCGCGTGAAAAAGAAAATGGGAAAGGGAATTCAAACAATCAAATATTTTGTCAAATATTATTTTTCACATACAGCTCTTCAAAATTAAAAAATTTTTTACGGAACTTTGACAATGACAGGAACGGACCTTGAAACCTACTTTTCGTTAAATTTTTTTCGGGGTTGAGAAAATTTTCTGTATGAGGTCGTGTAATTTCAGAACCTCCGTATTCACTTCGCAATGCGGAATTGAGAAAGCGCTGGGCGTATTGGAAATTGTCAAAATGGTAAATTTCATTAACGTGAACAAAATTGAGAACAAGTCAACAATGAATGTCTAAAACAATTCATTTTCATCAATATCTTGTGAGGTATGCGTAATGACTGCGTTATTTAATTTAGAAATAAAAAATATTCGAAACATCATTGATCATGTTCATATTTACTCATTCATGAACAACCGTATGTTTCATCTAATGATCTCTTTTCGTGTACACACTTGCACTTGTGATATCATTATTTGAATATACTACTTTTAACCGTGGTTGGAGTGAGATATTGAAAACAATCTTTCAATAACAGCTTATCATAAAAAGTCCACAACAAGTTAGTATTCATTCAAGCGCTTTTAAACTAAATCAGAGATTAAACATCTTATTGAAAAAAATAATCATTAAAGTTACGTAGTAATAATAGTGCGTAGTAGTAATAATCTATAAATACTTTCAATAGCACGCATTTTTGTAACGATCAGGAATTTTTCTGATCCTAAAATGGAACCGAAATAATTATTCATTTACGTACGTGTGTAACACATTGAACTGCATTAATCGCGTTGAATTTATATTCTCGTGTAACAGAAAGTGCGTAAATATTTAAATATATAGCATATACTGAACGTATATTTACAATATTTATATTTGTTGTTATTTGTTTTCTTTTAAAAAACTATACGTACGATGTCATTCGTAGCAACCATACATTACTATTTATCTCAATTCCTCATAATCCAAATGGTCAATCTAATCTTTGAAAAATGATTATTCGTTCTGAATATGTACAAGCCATCCTTAAAGTATCAATAATGGTGCGGAATCGGCTTTGAAAGTGTTCCAATAAAAGAAGATGCAATAAGATTACATAATGAGAGTAAATATTTTTGCAGTTTGTCATGTAATGGATATATTATAATACGCTCTGACAAATAGTCTTTGTTGCCAAGTTGTCTTTTTTTATTTTACTTTTTTCTTTTTCCTTTTCTTCTTTTTTATTATAGCTACAGTATTTCTTTAAATATTTTTCTGTAAAAGTGCATGATAATGGTTGGTGAGATTGGTGAATTTCAACGTGAATATGAAGATGATAAAGTTAATGTTTACATTTTATGAGGCACTTTATTCTCCGTAAATATTGTTCTCAGCCTATGTAGCGTTCGCAGAAGAGAGTAAACATTAAACAGAACGTCGAACGTTTATTGATTTCGAATTTGACCATAAATAAAGAGAAAGGCGGACGATGTAGAAAGACAACAAGTACCCACTGTCTATGCTACTTCTCGACAATGCACCGCTTACAAAAGACCCGCTAAAATATCTGTAATTAAAGAGGCTCGGTATTCTATCATTCTAACATACGTACTGTATGTGGAAGATCACATAACCTTTCGGAGACTCTGATTCTAGAATCGATGGTGTGAGAAATATCTCTTGTTCTCTCCACCATCTAATACCATGGACTGTTAGGAAATCGTGTTGTCTCTAACGTTTTTTCATTATTAAAATCGGATCGATATTTTTTTTTAATCTGCTAAAGTTGTGGAGAAGGATCATCACTAGGAAAAATACATGGGATTCTCGCTAGGATTTATGCAAAACAGATAAGCAAAATCGATGAAGAAATGCTAATGTGAATGTGTGCGCTCCCCGTGCCTAGGAGAGTGCAATGTTGTCAACAATTAATACTCTGACATCACATGTTGTGGTGAGTAAGGAGTTTTTTATTGTTTAAGGTCGTCTATTATTCGGTGACTATTTAATATTTAATCACAAAAACTACACATTGCGGGGTGCATGCAGCCGTGTCTAACTCATTTCATGTTATGGGAAGTACGTACGCAGTTGTGCTCATATCATTAATCTGTACACAACATAGTACAAACTAGTATGACTCTCGCAAAATAATGTACAGTATATTGTAAGCTAGGCCTTTAATTCTCGATGTCCATTCCTGCAGTGATAATACCAGCACGGTAAGATGAAACATAAGAAATCGCAAAAGGACAAAGAAATTGCTTTTTTAAAATTTATAGAGATAATAATTTCGAAATAAATAATGGTTTCTTTGGCAAAATTAAGCATCGGGCAGTGTTTCTCTTGCATAATCACCCATTTCTTTACCATTATCGTTATAATAATCGGAAGCAGTGATCTTTTCCCTAGAACTTTGAATAAAGCTATATTTATACCCTATATGAAGGGGCATCCTGATACTCTCCCCTCATATAATCAAATTTCCATTACAAAAATAAATACATTCATAATATGTTTACTCTGCAGATATATGGCAGCCTTTACATTACCATATTTTATCATTGGTGTTTGAGTTTTAGAATAGAGTAATATTAAATGTTTATCAAATAACGACACATATTTTATGCTTTCATCAGTTTATCGGATCAAGATAAATTTGGATTTATGTGATCCCAGTACAATGAGTCCAAAAATATTGCGGTGTATTTTGACCGATGATTATCTTTAACGAATAAATTTGTATTGACTTAAATAATATCTATTGAGATGAGCTATTGCGATCGATACAATTGTATAAAATGAATCAAAACCAAAACGTCGTTTGTCATTTAGTATACTGTATCTGATAGTTTCTTTGTAAAACACTTGCTTCTTATCATTACTTATTTAGCCCAGAAGACCAGCACAATATACTGTATAGGCTAATATACACTATACGTAAGGGTAACATCATACTCGAGTTACAGTACGTACTAAGTTCCTTATGTAAACAAAGACGATTTCATTTTCTTTCATGATAACAAAGAAAGCATGTGGATGGTCACATATTTTAAATATTGATCTCGAACGCGTATTTTACGTGATCCTTATCTGCAAATTGCACTATAAAATCGATTTGCACTCGTTTAAAATAAAGAATACAAAACATTATACAAGTACTTAGCATAATAATTTGAAACAGTATATAAATACCACAAGATACATTTCTTTAATCGAGTGTAAATCATGATTGGATTTTTTCTAATGTCCGGTATATACTTGAAAAATTCACGTGTGCTAATTTAACAATGGATTTTTTTCTGGTGTGTAAATGAGATTATATAAAAGGAAAAGGATATGAGTGTTTGGAATTTCTCACGAGAAAATCATCGAGTACCGCGCATTGACAAATTGCGCAACGTTTTGTCGCTTTCAAAAATTCGATGACGTTGACAATAGATGATATAATGAATCACACATTTTTGTCATAACGAGCGATGTCTATCGCGTGACTTCGTTAAATTATATTGTGTATAAATAAATAAAGTTATTAATTAAAATAAACTCCGAAATTTATTGATAATAGATAAGATACATGAAAAAATTGGTTTCAAAGTGTGATTTATAATTCCCATAAAAAATTCTGATGTAAAAGAGAAATTCCTTATTATTTTGTAAATTATGCGCATAATACGGTATTCATTATTTCTTGTCCACCAAATTTAATTTACTTTTCTCAAGTTCCATTAATAGAAGTATCAATAAAGCTGATATGTACTCATTTTAAATCGATAAGAGAAGAATTTGAAAAGAAATCCACACCTCATAATACTGCAAAACGGCTTCAATAAAGTGCTATATGGTAAGGCAACGATTTTTGAATGTAACGTTAAATTTGAAAATAAAATTGATTATAGTATTGGCGACTACGCCACTAATAAAATCAAAAATGGTAATAGTTACAAATTACGTAGTACTGTATACGTACTCACGTATTACTGAATGGGCATTATTTGAGCACTGTATTCCCATAAAATTACGTATTTAAAAATAATTACGTACCACTTGCATCGAAATTTTCATTAGACAATTTTTTTTGAGACGAAACAGGGAGTTTTAACAAAAACGCAATGTATTTTATAACAAGCAATACCTAATTAGTGTTAAAGGCCAATGAAATAAAAGTTGGTTTGCTGCGGTCATATGATTATGACATGATACAATCAATACCTAATTAGTGTTAAAGGCCAATGAAATGAAACAATTTTTGCTGCGGTCATATGATTATGACATGATAAAAGCTTATACAAAACGATCAATTCTCAATTATTTCCTTGCTTTCTAACAAGAAAGAAAAATATGCAAACAATTCATTCGTGGTAAAAAAGTAAAAACCTATAAGTTGAGGTAATAAATGAGCTGATCACAAAATAATTTATGCGTGACATAATTTATTTTTTTTATAATGCTAGATCAGTCTTGTTTTATTTGTATTTATACTACCAAATAAAACTCAATAGAAGCATCTTCTTTTCAAAGTTGTTCATCTTGTAGCTTTTTGTCACCCTCAAAAAGAAGCTAATACTGAAATAAATTTCAAGGATATAAAAGTTGTTTGTGGCATTTGTTATTCATTATTTCATAAAATCATTGACTAGTTATACTGTATAAACTAATCTTTTATATACTTTTATCTTTGTATAAAGGTTAGATCTTCTTTTTTCTTTCTGTTTTATAATACCTATTTGAGCTTTCCATTTTTAAAAGGCCTCATATCTATTTATCTATATTTGATGGAAATATTTGATAAACTTTATAAATATTAAAGAAATATCACTTTTTTTAGCCAGTTTATCTAAAATTATTCTCATAATTTCACTAACTAGTTCTTTGAATATAACTTCTTTTACATTGCTATTAGATATTCTTTATATCTCTGATTGTTTTGTTCTTGAAATTAGTTGTAAGTTTTTGACTTCTTTTTTTTTTCAACATATATTCTCATATATTTAATTATTGTATTAATTAAAAAGGTTTTCATATTCTTTCTAATTTGATTATATATAATAGAGTGTATATTGATTTCAGATTCTTTGCATATGATATAGTTTTTATTTTGATATAACATCGAAACTCTTGCACATAGTTTGCTTTTAGTTGATAGCTCATTATTTTATATATTAAAACAGGATTTTCTTAGTTTTTAATCTTCTCAATTTTATAATAATTGTTCATTTTAATTGATTGCAAATATGTTATAGTTGTGGATCAGTTTATTTCTTTAATGAGTTTATTTTAAAGTTATATCTTGTTCTATTTAGTAATCTCTATTTTATTAGATAAAGAATTTTAATAAACTTCTTTATAATTATCTTTATATAGACTCATGTAGAGATATTTTTCTATTAAAGTATTATTTAATAGTATGGTTTTATATTATTGCCATCACAATTTTTTTTCTGATATTATTAATAAATTGTGCAAGATTATCAGCTGTTTTATTATATTTGATTTCTAAGTAGTTTTTCATTTTGAATAAAAAGAGCTTTATATTGCTTCATTTGTATTACTCTAAAATTTAAAGTAAGAGATTGTTTGTTTTTTTGCATCTTTATAAATTTTCAATATTTTTCTTTTGTAATTTTTAAATTCCATTAATTGCTACCTGATTATCTATATATATATTTGCAATACTATATTCTAATAAAATATTTAAATCAATAAACTCTTTTCACATTTCCTTTGACCACACACAAAAAAGATGTTTGCAAGAAGTTTCTATACTTCTTTGCTAATAAAGTTTTAATACTTTCTTTAAAATAACTTGAAGTATAGTTTCAAGAGTCACTTCTACCCTTTCCCTTTTGTTTATAAACCTTTTCACTCAAAGGCTTGACTTTTAATGATGAAAAAAAAATCAATTAACACCTTTGATACCAATAGCAAGAAAGTTCTCAAAGAAAAACTAATTGTGAAGTATCTGAAGATCTATCTAACCTTTAAAGCGAGAGGTATATAGAGGTTTTTGATAATAGAAAGACTTATTTTTTTCCCTTCCAGTCACTTGTGAGCCTCTTAAAGCTATCACTTTCATGGTTTTCTAGAAAATTTTACCTATCTTGGTTTGATCCTAAATTTTGAGTTGTACAAATCCTCATTAAAAGTGATTGGCTAACATAAAACACATTAGTTTTTGAAATGTAAATAAGCTCATATTGATTACATTTATGTATTCCAATGATATAATTGGTGATTGAAAAAAAGGTTTCAGAAACATTTGCCTTCAAAAGCTCAAGTTCCTTAATGAAATTTCCATGCAACTAAAGATCAAGTGATAGATAATATGGATTACAAACTCCTGTCTCTTACCTAAGTTTCTCAAGTGATGATAAAGCTTTAATAAAAAAAAGCTGAGATCTAAATGCTTTCCTTGAGATATTTTAATCTGATGCTTATTTAAATGAAAGATCAATTGGATTGACTCATCTGATGCTACAGGTGGTGAAAAAGAAGATTTCTTTCAAGGTTCAAGTAAAGCAAGAAGACTAACCCAATCAGATAGATTCCTTTTGAAAAGAGATTGTTTTTATTTTTAAAATTTTTTGGTGGGTTTTGAATTGTTCCCTTTTCTCAACTGTTTTTCATATTTTTCTTTTTAACTTAACAATTCATTGATTTTCAGGCAATTAACAATGACAAACTGTTGACAATGATCTTGATAAATAAAGGTTATTATCAATTTATTGGGAAAGTATAATATTGTCTCCAAAATCTGACTTAAAGTACTTTTATATAAAGATGAGTAAGTTACTTTGTGAAAGTTTATAAAATATTGTAGATTTACTTCAATTTTTCAATAAAAGCAAGCCATTGTAGCATAATTGTAAGTCAAAAAAAAATAAAATAAAGAATATTTTATAAAAACTCTTTCTGCTGGTTCTCTGATTACACACAAAAAAGATATTCACAAAAAATTTTATATTTCCTAGTTACCAAAATCTTTATACTTTTATTAAAATAACTTGAAACTTATTTTCACTTATCTCTACTACTTTTTCTTACTTGTTTATAAACTCTTTTGAATAAAAACTTGAATCTCTAGTGGTTTGAATAGTCTCAAGTATGCACTTTCTCTATTAAAGACAAGAAGGTTCTAGGAAGTAAAAGAACTAACAAGTGGGATGTCACCTTACAGAGCTAGAAACAACAAAAAATAAAGGTTTTATTGATAAAAAAGGCTTATTATCTACCTTCTCACATACTGTCTTTATTCTCTTAAGTGTCTACTGCTTTTTACAGTTTTCTTGAGAGATTTTGCCTATTTTGATTTGATCCTGAATTTTTGGTAGAACAATATTACCTGGCATTTGATTGATTGATATAAATCACATTAGTAACTAAATATAAACAAGTTCCTATTAGTCACAACATATGTTCTGATAATATTATTAATAATTAAAAGAGTTGATTTGTGTCTCATGTCTATTTTATTTCTCCAATTGGATTATCAAGCAGATCAAGTTTCATAAAATCAATCACATATAAGTAACAAGTTTCCAGGTGATGATAAAGCTGCTATTTGT